GTGGTCACCGGTTTTCACATCCTTTATTTCAATGAAATTTTCTCTAGTCTTAGCCACATGCTGAGAAGAGGCAGAATCAATTCACCAAGCAAGAGAGTCATAGTCTGCAAGAAGCAACTCAGAAACTACACACACAATATCTCTTGATCCTTTAAAATTTTGACCATTATTCTTTTGTGTGCAATTTCTTTTGTAATGATCAGGTTGCCCACAGTTATATCAAGTATCAATTTGTTTTCCTTTAAAATTGTTATGTCTTTTGAACTTGTTATATTTCTTTTAAAATGTTTGTCTTGTCTTGGCTTAAGAAAAGGTGGAGTAGATGACACATTATTAGATGGGGCACCCGTAACAAATTGGGAAGATGAGCCACTAAAAACTAGATTTGACACATTACTAGTTTTTTTTTTAGCTCTTCTTTAGGCCTCAATGCCTAGCAACATGGGTAAATTTGTCATTGTTAAATCTTGGCCGGACATATTAAAAGAAATCACAACGGACTCCCATGAATTAGGAAGACTATGTAAAATAGTAGAAACTTGCATTTTATCGGGAATTGAGTTGCCTAGAAATGCCAACTCTTTTGCTATTACCATAAGTTTATTGACATGTTCAACAATGTGCTTTTCCTTTTTTATAAAAGTGTCATTATATTTTTCAAGCAATAGTTGAATATATGTGTTAGAGGTAGTACCATAGGCTTGTATTATAGCATCAAACATAAACTTAATAGTTTCATGTTCCTCAAAAATAACCTCTAAATCGGGTTCCATAAAAGTGAACAAGATTAACCTAGCCAATTTATCGTTCTCTACAAATCTTTCATAAGTGTTTCTAGCAGCCTCTCCAGCTTTAAGATGTGGTTTTTTTGGGTATGGTGTGTCAATAACATATTCAACTTTATCTTAAAATAACATGTGTCGAATTTTACATTTTCAAGTTGAATAATTTGTACTATTAAGCCTCTCAGTTTTGCTAAGTTCTACACTAACAGTTTTAGACCTCATATTAACAAATTATAAAAAAATAAAATTATAGGTAAAATTGGTTAGAACTGACCTGATTTAATTTTGTTATCAAAATGTGATTTCAAGAGTGCTTCGAGTATACTGTAGCACCAATTGCTCAATTCAACAGCAACTGTAACCAGGTTCCTCCGAAATTCTGTGGCGGCATCAAGAAGCTCGATACAATGAGGAGGCCACGCTGAAAATTCTGACTTCACATAATTTGCTTTTGTGAAAACTTGCAGGGAAGAAAAGCTTAAGGCCAAATCCTCTCGTGAAACGTGTCAAGAGTTAAAAAACAAATAATATGCTTTTTTGGCTAATGGATTGTTTGACATAATGGTTAACGCCTTTTCGGTCAAAACAAATTGAGAAGTCAGAAATTTTTTGACGAGGAAGAATTGATAGATCGCAATGTACTCTGATACTAATGTAGAAAAACAGAACATAATTTCGTGAATCCGATGAATGAGGAGCTAGTATTTGAGAATTAAAAAAAATTCTCTTTGATATGAAAGTAGTATGATTGAGATTTTCCTTTAATGAGTTTTTTCAGAAGTTGAATATTTTTTTGGTGTGTTCTCTCTGTATGCAGAGAGCCTTATTTATAAGGAATGATTTAGCTAGCCGTTACCACTTAACAAAATATCCTCAACTCCCCAATATTTTTTCAACTCCACTAGTATTTTCTCAATCCTCTGCAGTCAAAGTAGACTAATTATACTTCAAGTGGGATTGACTAGTCTTTCTCTACTTGATGAGTCCCTCTAGTCAAGTCACCCATACTGACTAGAAAAAATCTAACTCAAACATCCAATTATATCAATGCAATATATGTATGCATGCATCGTTATACAATAATTAATTAATATATAATAATTTGACAAAAAATACATCTATGATATATGTTATGAATAATGCAATATTTAACCAACGGATTGAAGTTTTATATATTATAGATTTGACCATCAATAGTGGCTTAATTAACATCGAAGAATTTTAGCTATATATTTCAACACCAATAAAATCACACAAATCGGACCACTAACCCCTAAATATCTGGATGCACACTAACCTTAGTGCATCTGAACGTTTTGTTTTGCTCAATTCTTTCCACTTATATTTGCTCTACGTTGATTTTTGAACCTCACCACTACCCTTATCACATTAATATGCATTCCGAGACGATGCTCAACCGAACACGACTCCAATACCCAACACTCACAATCTCAATCGTTACATGGTGAGCCTCCCTAAGTCCTCTCGACTCACCCAAATTTGTTTTCATTTTCAACTTCTTAGGTGTGGTTGAAGAATGGATGTAGGACTAACTTTCTTCTCTCTAGACCTCTGGAGTAAAAAAAGCCTTATTCACTCTAGCTTATGAGCCCTTTTTAGATGATGCAATGTTTCATTTAGACTCATATGAACTCTCCATTTGCCTAGTAAGATGCTTGACTTGACTATTTAAGTCTTTAGATTAGCTAGCTACCCCTTTTTAGATGATGCAATGTTTCATTTAGACTCATATGAACTCTTCATTTGCCTAGTAAGATGCTTGACTTGACTATTTAAGTCTTTAGATTAGCTAGCTAGCGACATGAGCCTCTTGTTCAAGACTTTCCTATTATTTAAACAATGTGAACTATAGTGATTGTGCTCTCCACAAGTGTAATACACAAATTATTTGGTTTGGGTGGGCTTGTGTTCACTTATGGGGGTGATAGGTTGGGATTACTCTTCACAAATACGGTCTTGAAAGAAGAGATGATGGTGTTTTCGTGTGTAAAACTCAAACCCCGTTTGTCCTTGACACTTTTCCCCATGGACAATATTTTATCAAGCTTTTTGAACCCTAGAGAAAGTTTTTTTAAGAGTTCTTGTTGTGATTCATGAAGGTTTTTATCTAATTTTATCAATTTTGACTCAAGACATTTCTTTGTCTCAATTAGCCCATGACATTCTCTCTTAAGAAAGCTCAATTTGTTCTTCAAGGACACATTTTCTTCAACAAGCACACAAATTTGAGCTTTGGACTCCACTAAGTCCACATGTATGATTTTCTTCTCTTCTTCACTAGCATTGAGCCTCAAGCTCAAAGAAATTACTCTTGCTTGAGGAATGTCACATATAGTTGATTGTATGCATCTTGTAGATCCTCAACACTTTCCATGCCATCCTCACTTGAGTTGACTTCAACAACATAGTCATCTACTTTTGTGGTAGGACTTATACCTTGTTCTTCAACTTTACTTCTTTAAGTTTCTCTAGAGAGAGGAATGTGAGGCTACAAAAGCGGTAAAATTTTCCTCATATTCATTAAAGGAAGAATCCTCATCTAATGTGGACTTACTACTACTATCGCTCTACTTGACTTTCATAGCTCTTCTATTTTCATTGGGCATGTCCTTCTTTTTAGCAGTAGGACATTCTGCAACCATATGTTCAAATCCTTGACACTCATAACATTGAAATCTTTGTCCTTTCTTCTCTAACTTCTTCTTGATAAGTTCTTCCCCCTTTCTCCCTTCCCTCCTTGGTAGTTTTCGGTCTACTCAACTTACCCTTCGACCTAGAGAACTTAACATCACTAGCCTTGAAGTATTTTTTGAACTTTCTTACAAGAATGGCTATGTCCACTTCTGCTAAATTGGGTGACTCAGATTTATCTCTTTTTTCTTTCGTTGGGCTCAAAGCAATGCTCCTCAATTTTTTGGGCGGTTGGAGATTCATCTCGAATGTCAAAAGAGATCCAACTTGGTCTTCCATCGACACCTCCTTCAAATTGACGTTTGTTTCTAAGGCCATCACCTTAACATGAAACCTTTCTAGTGAAGATTTCAAGAATTTCTACTTAATCACTGCATCATCATGCTTGTTACGTAATGCAAAAGATGAGTTAACAATGTCACTGAGTTTAGTATAGAAATCACTAAAACTTTCATCATTTTGCATCCTCAAGTCTCAAACTGAGAGGTGTGGCAAGACATTTTCACCACTTGAATTCCTTTGTGGGAAACTTGCAAGATGTCTCATGTTTCTTTGGAGGTTTCACAAATAGCTATCAACCGAAACTTGTTCGGTTGATGACATTGAATATCACATTCAAGCCTTTCAAGTTCTACCAGAAGCAAAAACAGAAACTGTTTTGAGATAAAACAGTAATTGTATAACAAGAACAAGCAGGACAAAAACTGAAACAAGGGCAAAAATGTAAATTCCATACATATGTACAATGACCCTATGCACAGCTCCTGCCTTTCCAGCTTCAAACTCCTTCTCAGCACAAGGCAGCTTAGGACATCTGCCATCGAAACAGAGATCCCCAGCTGAGAGGTTCCACAACAGGCATTGGGTTGTAAAGCTTCAGCTAAGAGCAAGCCAATTCCACAGTCCAGGTCATCTGTTATCAGATGCAGACAGCCTGAACTGAGAGCAACTGGATACAGAAGTAAAAACTGCTTCGGAAGACAAAACAGCAGTCCAGATACTGCCTAATAAATGCACTGCTCCTGTTATCAAGCAAAAACATCCCCTCTGATTCTAGATGCAGAGAACAGAGCAAATGAAACGCTAACCCAGCTCTTTAAAACAGCTCTTGTGCAGGAAAGAAATCATCAGGAAAAAGCAGACTTCTCCTTCCTTAATCCCAAACATGAAATGCAAGAGGGACCAGGAAAAAATAAGGAAGACAAACCAACGAAACTCAAAGGCCATCAAAAGATGTTCAAAAGAAAGCCCAGGGACAAGTTTAGAGAACGATGAGAACCCAGAGACTTCCCTAGAAGTTGTTGAAAATTTGATCTTGATTCTAATACAGCAGCTTAGAAGACTACTGGAATCAGAGGATCAGGCCCAGCCAAAACAAGCTCCACAAGCAGCATAGACATTCATTTCTACATCTATGTCCCAGTAAAATTGCCACAAAGATTTCAAATTCTGATGCATTTTGTAATCATGAATGAATGAATCAAAAATGATTGCAAGAAAATATCACAGCTCCACACCATCACCATCCTCTGGTCCTCCAAAGTCTGCTAGGCAACCAGTCCAGCTGTCAGACACAGCCATCTGCCCCCAAGCAGTCCTCACTTTAAAACAATAATCTGAAATTTTGACAAACCATGTTGCAGAACCAACAATAAACCATCTAACAATGCCATGCACTTAGCTGACATGTTTGATCCCATTCCATAAAAACAAGCAGCAACTAACATCACATTTCCTTCATGATTCCTCAACACCACCCCACCACCTGACAGTCTAGTCTTACCATTAGAGGCACCATCAACATTGAGCTTCAACACATTTTCAAGAGGAGACTCCCACTTAATCCACTTAACCTTAGTGACTAAGAAGAAATGACTTTCAATTTTCAATTCCCTCAGGAATTCCCTTCCCTTGCAATCATCAGCAAACCCAGGCCTTATAAGAAATGCCTGCCACCTCAAAGCACTTACCACTTACATAAAGACAGCATAAGTGTTTAAACACCTCCACTCATATTTCCTCCTACATCTCTCTTTCCACAAAGCCCAAAAGATCAACATAGAAACCCCTCTGATCAAACTATGACTCAGAGAAGTAACTTTAAACCTCCTCAACAGCCTCAACAATCTACACATTGTGGATTCTTCTAAGAGAATTTCAAACCCCATAGCAACTGCAATTCTTCTCCACAAAGCTTGAGCAAAAATGAAATCAATGAACAAATGAATGCCACTTTCCTCCTCCATACCACACATAACACATTTACTGACTAATGAGACACCCACACTCCTCACTCTTTCATCAGTAGTCAAAGCATTTCTTAAAATCTTCCAAGTACATAACTGAGCACTTGGAAAAATTTGTTGTTTCCATATGCCATGAGCAAGGACACAATGAACACCTCTCTTCCTGACCTGATGCCAAGCAGTTTTAACAGAAAATTTACCCGATTTGGTATGCCTCCACACCAGCTTATCAGATTCCCCAGACCATAACAAACTCACATTCTCAATCTCTGAATGAAGCTGAGGAGTAAGCCATTCAGAAACACCTTCAAGCTGCCAATCAGATCCATTCCATAGTTCATTAACCTTGGGAAATATTAATGGAACATTCTCAATCCTAAGAATTAAAGGACTCATCCATCCATGGATCACACCAAAAATCAGTCTTCTGACCATTCCCAATCAACATTAAAGCATTTTGCACCACAGTTTCAAACCAAGGTTTCAATACTTTAAAGCTTTGCCCAGCTCCAGATTGCACACACCTCAGCATTTGCCTCCCTTTAAAGAATTTCTCCCTAAAGACCTTAACCCATAAAGAGTGCCCATTCAGAATACCCCATACCTGTTTAATTCTGAAAGCTGTCTGAATTTCCCCAAAACTCCTAATCCCCAGGCCACCTTCATCTCTAGGTTTAGAGATATTATCCAATGAAACCCAATGTCTTCTTCTGCAATCCAGCTGATTTGACCACACAAAACTCGCAATCAAAGAGTTTAACTTTTTCAGAATCCCTTTAGGTATATTCATGCAAGCCAGCATATGAATTGGAATTGAATTGAGGACAGACTGAACCAACACAACTCTTCCCATACCCGACAACATCCTTGCATACTAGCCCTCAATTCTGCTTCTGAAACTTCTCACCACTTCCTCAAAATAACACTTTTTGATCCTCCCCCTGATAATAGGGCATCCCAGATAAGTGACAGGGCAGTTTTTGATAGGGATCCCCAACACAGAAGCTAGCACACCTCTTTTATTTACAGAAATTCTCTTTGAACAATACATAGCACTTTTCATCTTATTCACCTTTGTCCAGAACAAGACTCATAAAGCTCAATGAATCTTAAAACATTCAAAACAAATCTCTTATTTCCCCTAAGGAAAATTAATGTGGCATCAGCAAACAATAGATGACTCACCAAAGTAGTTCCACTGCCAATATGGAAATGTTTCACTAAATTTTGCTGATAAATTCTCCTTAGGCCCCTATTGAGAACCTCTTCAGCTAGAATGAATAAGGTAGGAGAAAGAGGATCCCCTTGCCTTAAACCTCTAGAATTTGCAAAGTACCCATATCTCTGACCATTCAAACAAATAGAAAAGAACTGGCTGCCCAAACAATTCATGATAATTTGATTGAATAAATCTGAAAATCCAAACAGCTTAACACCTTGAGGAGAAAATCCCATTCTAATCTGTCATAAGCTTTCATTATGTCAAGTTTCATCACCAAATTACCACCTTCCACCTTCCTGTCAAGCTCCCCTACTAACAATTGCCCCAATGCCACACAATCTCCAATACCTCTCCCTTGAACAAAGCCATGCTGATCCTCAGAAATCAGACAAGGGAGTAGACTAGACAGTCTGGTATTAATTAACTCAGTAAAGATCTTATATAAGAAATTAAATAAGCTAATGGGCCTAAAATCAAAAAGGAGCTTGGATTAATCTTCTTAGGGATTAAAACAAGCAAGGTAGAATTTACTGATCTAGGCATCACCCCACCTTTCATCAAGAAATTCACAGCCCTCCAAACATCAAACTTGATAACATCCCAGGCAAATTGGTGAAATTTACCAGATAAACCATCAGGCCCAGGGGCACTCTCAGATGCCATGGAAAATACAACCTCCTTCACCTCTTCCAAAGAGACCTCAACAGTAATCCTCTCATTATCCTCCTGATTGACCAATTTAGGAATGACAGACAGGAGGTGATCATGAATAGCATGCTCTTCTGACTTATAGAGATCTACATAAAACTCTTCTGCTACCTTAGCCACCTGTTGGTCCCCATAGACCCAAATCCCCTCCTTGTTTTGAATTCTAGAAACTTTATTTCTAGTAATTTTGCTTTTGGCAATGGCATGATAAAAACTAGTATTCCTCTCCCCTTGCACTGCCCACCTGACATTGGATTTTTGCTTCCAATATATTTCCTCTCTCCTCAACCAATCATCCAGCTCACATTTATAACCATCAAGCTCCAATGCTTTTGAATCAGAAAATTCCTGATCCAATTGCAATTCAGCTGTACTGATCTTCTGCTCTTGAGCTCTAATCTTCTCAAAAAGATTACCAAACACATCTTTATTCCAAAGTTTCATATGTGCCTTCAGATATTTCAACTTGATGAACAGATTTGACATTGGATTATCAGAATATTGGCCATTCCAATTAACAACAATTAAATCCAAGAAGCCTTCATGGTCACACCACATATCCTGAAATCTGAAATAGGACACTCTATTTTGAATAGGCGCATCTACAATCCTCATCAGAAGAGGACTATGATCAAAAGCTCCTCTGGTCAAATGAACAACCTCCAAACTTTCAAATTTCAAATTCCAACAAGGGTTGATCAAAGCTCTATCCAACCTTTGTTTCATCCTGACTTGCCTCTGCCTGTTATCACACCAAGTAAATTTATTGCCAAGGAAGCCACCATCTAACAAACCTCTGTGATCCAAAAAATCACCAAATTCCTCCATTGAAGTCAATGAAGGTGGAGCTCCCCTTCTTCTTTCATCAGAACTCAATACAGCATTGAAATCCCCCACTACAATCCAAGGTACATTGGAAGGAATCTCAATATCAATCAAATGACTCCATACTGACCTTCTAAGAACAAGGTCACAGCTAGCATAAACCACTGAGATCCAAAAAACTTCAGTTTTCATAAACGTCGACTCCAAAGTTATCACTTGCTCATGCTCAAACAAAAGCTTTAACTGAATTCTTTCATCCTATAAAATCCAAATATTTCTTTCTGCTAGAGTATTAAAACATAAGTGTTCTAATCCAATACTCCTAGCAAAAAGAATCAACTTTGACACAAGTAATTTTGGTTCTTGAATTGCAACAAAACATACATCATGCAACTTGATAAGTTTCTTCAACCTCCTTCTCTTGGTAGCTTTATTAGCTCCCCTCATATTCCATGAAAGCAAATTAATCATGAATTCATAGAATGAGAGCCTCCTATGGAACTTAATCCATTACAATCATTATCATCATTAAAGGAACTATCAGAATCAGCATGATCATCATTAACAACTCTCTGAGTCCTTGAACTGGCCTGATCAGAATAATAACCCCTATTAGGTGGAACCCTCTCACTCACCAGACCAATTTCATCATCCAAAACACCTTCACACTCATGCCTCACTCCATATTGGTAATCAATTAAAAAGGAGGAATCCATAGAAGGAGCATAAAGAACTCTACACTCCCCCAGATTCTCCACAATGTTCTCAACATTAGATTCTACATTTACCCCATCATGATCCAATGCCACAACACCATTATCCTTATTCCCCAAGACATTGGGATTACAAGAATTAACAGGCAATGGAATAGGAGAAGAAAAAGCAAATACCTCTAAACTGGTTCCAATTGTAGAGTGGTGGTCATTTTCCGCAAAGCCAGCAATCACAGATACATCTCCACGGGCATTCACTTCCTCCAAACTGGAACCAGCTGTAGAAGGGTTGACTTGAGCCACAGAAACAGGATTTACAAGAACCTCTCCTACAACACCTTCTGCAACATCCACAGGATCACCTGCTGCCCCAGTCATCTCACGCAAATTCTGTGATTCCACAGAATTCTGAACTGGGATCTCCACACCATTAGTCTCCTGTTGAGGAGTTTGATGATGCATCCCCAAATCATTATCCACATCCACCACCTCATTCAAATCATTCAAAACAGTAAAACTGTTCCCCACAACTAGACTCTGGGCCACAGTTTTCTGCCTATATTCCTTCCTTGGTCTAACTCTCACTTCCTCAGTAGCAACAGCTTTCCCTTTCCCATTCTTCCAACCATCATCATGGCCAGAGCCATTTACAGGAATAGACACCTTCTCAGAAGTACCAACCACCTCTTCTTTCTTTTTCTTTCTGCATAAATTTTCCTCATGCCCCTGCTTTAGACAAAGAGGGCAATATTTATAGTCCTTCTCATAGACTATCTTCTGCCACCTTCCACTAACTCCCCACATAACTAGCTAGAACCTCTTAGGATTGCTAGCCAATATGTTCATTTCCACACAAGCTCTGGCCACTCCAGGCCCAGACAGGTTCAAAGTTGCATTGTCAATCACCAGAATCCTGCCAATTGGACTTAGAATATCTCTAATACTTTCCCTACTAAAAAGATGGATTGGTAATCCAGGAAGAGACACCCAAACAGGGACAATTGGTGGTTCAATCCCAGGGTAAAACTCTGGGAACCACTTAAAAAATCTAAACAGATAACCCTCAATGTAGGTGGTATCCTTGAGCCACACTTTGACATAATCCTCATATAAAGAAAACCTAATCAGAACATGCCTTGGATCTAACACACCTACAGAAAAATCTCCTTTCAACAGCCATCTAGAGTTTATAAACTCTTTCACCACACCCAATGAAGGCTTACCATAGACACATTTGCCTATAAGAGTCTGATTAAAGCCTTTTGAAAGCTTCTGAATCTCAACTGGGGACCAGTACATCCCCGGCTCCCCATTGTTGAAAACAACTCTCTTAGCAGGCTTAGAAGTACTAGCAGAATTCAAGGAACCAAATAGAATCTTAGACGAAGGAATTTGAACACCAGAAACATTCTGAACACTCGAAACACCAACTGGAGCCTGAGCCTCATGCCCCAGACAGAGGGATCTGAAGATGATGATTAGGTTTTGTTATCAGCCACGAGAGGATCGTTACTCGCTAGAGCATTGTGTAGCTCTGATACCATATAAAGGTTGCAGTAGGGTTGGAAAAACAGAGACATTTTCTATTGAAGTTCTGTACACGATATATGGAAACAAATAAAATCAGGCTTCATTATCTCCTAGCTTGATTGGATCTGATGAAGATAGACTATTGCCAAACTGTTGCTGTTGATGTAGGAGAGGTGTTGTTTGCTGAATCATTGCCATCAAAGTTGTTCATATCTTCTATGTCTCATCTCCCACAAATGAAGACTTGCACACTTCCCAGATCTCCTCATCTCCCTCTTATAGATGCACAAGCAAATTGACACCCAGCAAACAACATCAACATGGCACCACCCATATTGTCACCTAGCAAATTAGTAAAATTCTGGGCATTTGGCGGGCTAATCTAGTATTTGCTAATTGAAGGCCGATGGATTGCTCCATAGTTTCAATTCACAGGGTTTGAATTTGCAGCACGTTGTCCGGTAACAATGGGTTCTGTCTGGGTGTCTCTCTCTTTAAATCTCTTGTACGTGCAGTAGAAGAAAAAGAAGGAATTGATGGTTGTTGGATTACCTTGTAACTGATGCGTTTGTGAGTATTTGTGTGCATTCATATGCTTGAGAGAGATGAAGAAGATAGAAACAGGTAGTATACACACCAAAGAAGCGCATCTCCGTCAAATATTTCTAACAAAACAATTTTGGCGCCTGAACAGCATGTCAGCAGAATGGTGGTTGAAATATTTGAATGGGGCTGACCGATCTCACTTAATAAACCAGGGTGGTTAAGTGATAGACTCTGCAAGTGAGGGGGACTGGCTATAATTAACCCTCAAAAATTTGTATAATTCACAGCTTAGTATATATAACGACAGTTCCCACCCCTCATTTCAACTCGGCCAATCTAAATTTTACCACTTAATCATGGTCTAAGACCAATTGTTATCCAACAACACACGCGTACAGGGAGAGAGAGAGAGAGTCACTATCTTACCATTTAAACTGTTGTCCCATCAGATATTTGTAGGAGAGCAAATATATCTGTACACGAATGCAAGAACAACATTTGTAGATGCAAATAGGCAAAAAAAAAAAAAAGATAAGAAACCTTCCACTATTAGATGCAGAAAATGCAAGAACAAGCATGCCATTTCCAAACATCGTAATAATATGTAGCAACTGATTAAACAACATACATCATCTATCTGCTGAAAAGAACAAACCAAACATTATTACTTCACAGATATGGTTCAACATGAATTCCAGCTTACATGCACACCATCATAGCCAGCAGGTAGAAAAGAGTATCTAGCAAGTACACATAAGCAAAAATCAAACAAACTCTAGGGGCTATGCAAATTCGGAAGGAAAAGCCAGCCAGGTACACCCAAAAGTATACATCAGCAAGTCAAGAAAGTTTTTAGTTGGCTAGTATCGGTTGTCACTTCCAGGTTGAACAAATATACATATGTTGCTAACCTTACATTGCATGATAACCTCATATTCTGATTTTAATTTGGGTTTGTTGCAAGCCAAACTGCTCTAAACAAAACCATTACCTACCCCAATCTGATAACAGGTCTAGTGATTGGTCGGTCCTAAGAGCGAGAGAAGAAAGGTCCTGTAATGGCCTGATGTCTCTGAATGAACAGCATCATTCAATGTTTTTCTATATTTCTTTTGATATTCTGCCTTTATATAATGCATATCAATTTCAGCTCTCGTCACAATGACCCTAGTAAGTGTTGAGTCATCAGTTCCCAAGCCCTTCATTGCTTTGTGCAACACCTGCAGCATTGTAGTTATAAAATTCATGCTTCAATTAAATTAAGCAAAAGTAATACAAAACTAGATTAAGCAAAAGAGTAAAAGTATGGTTGGGGGGATTACAATCAAAGCTGTTTTGATGTTCAGAAGTTCATTTTAGGAGCTTGATGCATTAGATGGAAAATTCTGGCACAAAGCAACGGAACATTGGAACAATGGAAATTAAAATGCTTCTGAAATTTTTGATTCAAGAACACTTCAAACTATGTGCAACACAATGCCTATACTTGAGGTAAATTGCAAAGTTATTACGTACAGTTGACAAGTCCCAAGTATTCTCACAAGTGAGAAAGAAAAAGATGCTAAAAAAAGAATACGTTAGTGCCGGAGATTAATAAAAAAAAAAAAAAAAGCTAACAAAAAGCCTACAAGGTCGTTGTGTCGGGTTAGAGAAAGTTAACAAACAGCCTACAAGATCATAGGAATAGTCAAAAGAAGAGATAAAAAAAGCTACTTCTATTTCCAAAAAAAAAAAATATCAATATTTGAACTTGCAAGGCTTAAAGCTCAACACCAAGAGCATATGTTGCACATTGCACATTTATGGGGTTACAAGTTCAGAACGAGAAGTGTGAAACAATACCTTAGCAAAATACTTCCCAGGATTCTCAGCACACTGCAAAACAGTCAAGAGGCCATACTCGAAGTTCCCAGATGTCTCACTTTTTATTGCCTGAAAAATAGTTGTTTATCAACCAAAATTTCAAAATATGCTGAAGCAAGGAAAAGGCTGTATTAAAGAGGCGTACTTTCTTCAGTGAGTTCCCATATACACTATGATAAGCAGAACTAACACCAGCTAAATGTGCCCTGCTTCTTTCACTGAAAATGCGTACAAAAGTCTTCTCATCAGTTCCCAACCTCTTCTCCCCAGCTTTAAACAGAGCTTTGGCATCGCTTTCAACCATCACTCTGTCAATTTCTGGGCCTTCATAGCGTGGTGCACTTACGTATGCAAGCAGCAACTACAAAAAGTAAATACAAAAATTAAATTAATGTCCAAGATACAGATAAACCATATCCCTTAGTTCCAACTACAAAAATGTTGATTTGCTTGAACGAATTTGAGTATGCTATGTTATACATAGAAGTCTCGATATAAAAGAAACTAAAAGGGATCCTCGAAGGACAGAACCTATCTGTCTTTGTTATCAAATTGCGACCAGTAATGTACTAAAAGGCCTCAAACATTACCATCACAGGCCAATCTTGCTGCTTGGAGTGTTTGTGTGTGTTAACTATGGTCCATTTTAGCTATCATGCCCTCTTAAAAAGTTCAGGCGAAAAATCCAGCTCTTTTCCATTATAGAAAACTTGAGCCTTAAAGATTGAATATCTAAACTAATTTTATAATCTTGCAGATTAGACTAAACATGTGCACACATAAACATAATTACGATCAAATCTCAGGAGCAACATCAACTCTATTGCACTTACAAAAAAAAAACCTTTGTCGTTCCAATTTCTGCATGTTCTCTTAACTTGGCTCAGAAATTTTTACTGGGAAGGTTCGGTTTTTAAGCATTCGACAGTGATCAACAAGACCAATGAAGGTTAGAAAAGCCATCCAGATTTTCCTTCTTTCAAGAGTTCTATTTATTTTGAGTTTGTAACGTAGATACGAAAATGACTGGAGAGTGTTTAGTCACAAACAATCTATACTACTAAACAAATACCTTCACATGAAAAACTTTTGATTGATATTTCGTCCATATACAAAACTATAAATGTAATCATGTCCTTTTGACATTTCAATATGCAATCCCTATTTTGTCCTTGTGAAAAGTTGTAAAGGCCATTATGTCCTCTTACATTTAAATGTTCACAATATCATTATGTCCTTTTGTATTTAGTTATCCAAATGCCCTCCACATTAGCTTTAATTTTATAATTTGTACATTATTATATTTATTCTAATCTAATAACTCAAAAAGAAATAAGTATCCATCCATATGGATGATTATCGCTCAATAATAGTACTACCATTTCAAAATTAAAGTCACAAATGTACCTTAATTTATCTATGTTTAAAATTTAGTCTATGGGTACATAAAACTCAGATCTAATGAGAATAAGACAAATCGCAAGCAAAAAATTGAAAAAAATTTCTAAATCTATGTATGTTTGAAAAACTTGTAAAATATTGGATTATGTTACATTTAAAAAATGTGTTAAGACAATACTAAACTTTTAAATTTAAACATGTACTATTTACTTTTTGTTTTGAAGTTAAAAGATGGACTGTTTTACTTTCTTGAAAAAAATAGTCTTTTTCTTACTACTAGATTTCCCTTCTTAACTTTTGTTATATAAATTTAGAAAATATGAGATCTCATTCAATTTAATTGCATACATACTTGGTATTCTTTTATAACTCTAACTGTGTACTCCTGTGTACAGCCGGTCCCAAACCCGGATAATAGAGTAGGGTTGGTTAGGTAGCTAACAGTTACCATAAAACTCGTCAGACCATGTACGAGTTGAAATATAAGAGTTGAAGTTTTCTAGGGTTTGTGATCAAGAGAAAAAGGAAGAGAAGAAGAGAGTTTTTCTGAGATAGTTAGAATAATATATCTCTAATTCCACGCTCCTCTCTATTTATATTATCAAACACATAAGTAAAAATTACAAGAATGCCCATTAATCAAATATTTCAAATATTCCAACACTCTCCCTCAAACTGGTGCATAAATATTACGCATTTCCAGCTTACCTAAAATGCCATGAAACACCTTACTTGACACTCCTTTAGTCAAGATGTCAACTAATTGTTCTTTGGTCTTCACTCTTCACAAACAGAGTGCAAAAAAGATTAGAGCTCAACCTCTCTTTAATGAAATGCTAGTCAATTTCAATATGCTTGGTTCGATCATAAATGGGACAATTGTGGAGAATCCATAAACGGACTTATCACGCTTACAACATGGGCAATACCAGGTCGGATATGTGAGAGATACATGAGCTTGCCTACAAGTGTTTGGTACCTACCAATATCAACCTTTGTATTATCATTATTCTCGCTTAAGCTATGATTTGGCTCAATCGGAGTGTCACAAGGCTTGCCCTTGAGCATTCCTGTCTCCTTTAGCAAATCCAAAACTTACTTTCGCTGAGAAATAAAGATTCTCTCTTTTAATTTTGCAACTTCTATCTCAAGGAAATATTTGAAGTTGCCTAAGTCCTTTATCTCAAATTCTCTAGCCAAAAATAATTTCAAAGCTTGCATCTCTTCAATATCATCACCAGTGATGATAATATCATCTACATAGACTATAAGCACAACAATCTTTCCTTGTTTATGTCTAATGAAGAGAGTGTAATCAGTCGAACTCTGTTTCTACCCATACTTCTGCATAGCTCTCAAACCAAGCTCTAAGAAATTGCTTCAAACCATAAAGAGACTTTTTCAACTTACAAACCTTCTCTTCGGGATATGAAAAACTAGGAGAAGCATCCATATACACTTCCTCTTCCGAATCAACATGAAGGAAGACATTTTTAATGTCTAGCTGGTGTAGACAAACCTTCTCTTCGGGATATGGAAAACCAGGATGAGCATCCATATACACTTCCTCTTCCAAATCACCATGAAGGAAGACATTTTTCATGTCTAGCTAGTGTAGAGACCATCCAAAATTTGCTGCCAAAGAAAGCAATACTCTAATGGAATTCATCTTGGCTACTAGTGCAAAAGTTTCTTGATAATCAATGCTATAGGTTTGGTGAAACCCTTAGCCACCAATCTAGCTTTAAACCTCTCCACTGATCCATCAACTTTATACTTTATAGTGAACACCCATTTGCACCCAGTTGTTCTTTTTCTTTTAGGAAGAATTACATGTTCCCACGTGTCATTCTTTTGAAGAGTTATAAGTTGGCTTGTGCAAACATTTTTTCTGAATTTTGATTCGTCCACGATGGTTGGCTATTTCACTCTTACACTCAATAGGAGGCTACTAATTCCCATGAGCTGTATTTTGATTGGTTGTTGTCACCTCCTACACATCACTTAGAGCCTCCAATTGGTTGACGATGGTGGAGGAAGTTTCTTCGGATGACGATCCACCACCCACACCGCCCCTTCATCCAATGAATTGAAGACATCAATGCTATAAATACTTGCAATTCTCTACATTGAGGAAGTTCTAGCTTGGAGAGAGCTTTTAGTCTTAGTCTTTTGTTTTAGTTTTAGTTTTATACTATGAGAATTTTTGCTGAGTTACGAGTGTATTTTTCATTTCAATTTCAAAGCTTTGTTGTTGAATATTGTTCTTGTATTTAAACTTAGTATTGTGAAGCAATCTTAGTTGAAGTGTTTCCTTTCCATTCTCTTGTTTTTTTACATATGTTTTACATGTTATTTATTAACGATTTCAGAGTTATGGGTTTTGTTTCTGGCTAAGTTTCGGCGCAATCCAAGTGATTATTCTTGTTTGTGATTGAGCCTTGCTGATTCTATAATGAATTCTCACCACATAGTATGTTTTTTAGATAGTAAAAATCACTTTTAGAAAACTAGTGTTTATATATGCTCTTTGATTTATCATCGACGGATTTCCGACATGAGTAATACTTGGAGTATATGTATACATCTACGTATTTATCATTATAGAATCAATTTTGAAAACTAGTTGTTAAGTGTTCACCTTCATTTCTCATCGATAGTTCTTTCGGCACGGGTAATGCTTGAAAATCATTTATACATCTACATATTTATCATCTAGATTTCATTACCTACCTTGAAAGCAACATATATTTCAAATATAATTTTAGTTGAATATTTTTTGCTCAAATAAATTTGATTATGAGCTTGAGTGAGTTATAAGTGAGAATCAATAAACTTGATTACTGTAAGATAATTTTCAAGGATTGGCTGATAGTTTTTCAGTTGATATTACTACATAAGTTGTTATTTTCACAATTTTCCATAAATTTAAGAGTTTTTATTTTATTTTTCAACACATCACCATTCAGATTGCTATTGTTCTCGGAGGAGACGACATCGGATTTTCCGAGTTACTATACTACACATACTTCCTATGCTTGGAAAACACATTTATACATTTCAGAGGTGCAAACATTCTTTTGAGAGAAACAATTGAATCATTTTGGGAGAAAAACAATTTTGATAAACTAAAGCATCTTTGGCAAGCAAGCATTTTTGGCGCCGTTTTTGAGGAACAACGGTTCAATTTGAAAGGTGATTCGGATTGACGGTAGATAAATCTTGTGATTTTCATCACGAGTCTAGGTACGTTCTTTTGCTGTATATTATTGAAAAAATTTCTATTTTCTTTGTAAATAATTTCCTATGTTTTGAAATTCTTTTTATATGGTATCAGATGATTCCTTTATGGAGTATACATGTGAGATTTGTGCGAGTATGAGCATATCACTAACGAATGTCCTAATAGCTTATAAATATGGTGTCTAAGTAACTCCTCCAATCTAACCATCCACTCATATACTTGACACACCTTTGGAAACTTCAACAAAAGGAGGATGGATATATACATTTTTATGTAAATCCAAGATTGAGGTACCAAATGGATCCTCGTCAATTATGACACTCAACTCAACCTTCGTACCTTCAACAAGCTTAAAGATGTAAATCTAATTAGGACTTTGATATAAAAAAGTCCTTGGACTCATTAGCCTCTTGTGAAATGACATTTTGCTCAATTAATCATTATTAAGAGTATTAACAGATTCATTCTCAAATTGTAGTTTAGGAAAATAATCATTCTACTACATTGATCATTCTCAACTTCTTGTTTTTGATTCAAAGCACTAACTGCCATCATCAATGTTTTGAGGATGTCTTTTAACACTTCAAAATCTTAGCTCATTTGGGCATTGATAGTCAGTTGGGTTTTCATAAATTCATCCAAAAATGTTTTTTAATTTTTTTTCTTGTTCTTGTTTGAGTTTATTTTGTTGTAATTATTTCTTTTTATTTCGTTCTTG